AATTATGGTACTAAGTGGTATAAGGATAGCATACATATTAAGGCTTATACTCTAATTTTCTACGTATTTAAATCGTTTCAGATAAATTAGAGTCGATTTATAAATATTCGTCTGGCTGCTTCGCGTAAAAATTAGCAACCGACTTTACACAAAAATAATTTCGAATGTGGATCCATACGAGTAGTCTTTGTAGACTCTATTTTATAAGCAAGTACTCGAAAATAGAAGTAGGATATGATTTACAAAAACATTCCTCATTCATTTTGACTGAAGACATGTCATCTCAAAAATAACCTGCAATATCCGCAAACCAATACATGATCTATGACGAATTTGTCCCTCTTGGTTTTATTAAACTCTCCAAGGGCGTTCATCCCCATATGCAATATTTATTTTTGTGATTTTATTTTATATAAAGTTCGAATATTTAAATAGCAATACACCAAATATTATTTATATATATATATATACAGGGTGAGATAAAAAACTGCAACAAAGTCGAACGCAATAATTTTTACATTTATTTTTAAATTTTATTAAATGAATGCATTAAATTTTAGAATAACTTTGGATTTGTCCGAATTGGTCAACGTTGGCACCAATTATGGCCTTCAAACGGCCAATGAAACCGTCACACGCTGCCCGAATATTGCGCTTGCTTGAGGTGATCGACACTTTGGTATTTTTTAGTGCCAACCTTGCTTTCTAAAATACTCCAGACACAATAGTCCAACGGATTGTTATCTGGTGATTTTGGTGGCTATTGTGCGCTGGAATTGAAGCGAACCTCAAAATCTCATTTTGTAACCATTCTTGGGTGGCGCAAAGTTCTGCGGCCAACATGTTTGCGTGCCCAAGGCTTTAAAACACCCTCCAGAATATTTTCGCGATAATATTCAGCATTTATTCTGATGCCACGTTCGATTAATACGAGCGGAGAGCGACCATCGGCTGTTATGACGGTCCACAGCATCACCATGGCCGGCCCTTGAGTCCTGGTGGCCAACAGACATTTTCAGCTGACCTCTTTGGCAATTAAACACGATCATTTTGTTTGTTTAAAAACTGCTGGACAACGAATGTTTTCTCATCGTTGAAAATCAAATACGGCAGTTTACCACTTTCGGCCAAGCGAAGCAACTCTTTAGCTCTTTTGAGTCTATTTCCTTTCCGTTGCGGTGTAAGTTCTTGCACTTTTTGGAATTTCCATGGCTTTACCCCGTGCTTATTTTTTAATTTTTGCCGAATCAAATATTGCGATCTATTCAGCTCACGAGCCATTTTTCGACCACTGACGCGGGTTTCGATCAAGTCGTTTCTTCACTTTTCGAACAATTTCTGCTGATGTCCACTTCCTTGACGTCGAGCTACGCTACCAGTATCACAGTAACGAGCGATGGTCAAATTGTAGTGATATGAGGCTAGAATCTTCAGAATATGTAATTTTTGTTTATGTACTCAAATTTTGTTAGTTTCTTTGGTAACAATTAGAAATACAAAAATTCTGCTTGTATCAACAAAGTGAAAATTACACAGCGAAACCGCCACAGTAAATAATGTTGCAATAGTTGAAATTGCTTTTCAACTCGTACGAATGGATATCCATAACATTAACTGGCAAATGGACAAAAGATAACCAGCAATACAATAACAATTTAAATGACATAAATACAATTCTACAAATTGCTTTCGGGGTTTTTTTACAAATAACAAAAACGACAAAACAAATATTGGTATTTTTTGGACGTTTTTTTTTATTAAAGATGCAATAAAATTGGCATATTGATGATATGACAGGCATTATAAATATTGTTTTTTTTAACTAAATCAAAACATTAGTACCAAATCAACCAGCCAACAGAGGGTGACCATAAAACACAGAAAAGAAATCAATCAAATTTTCGTTTTTACAACTAAAGCAAGATTTTGATTGATTAGAGTCAGCGGAATTCGGTGACAATTTGAAAGCATAACAAATTAATCAAATTTAAAGACATTTTTATAACTAGCTGCTCCCGTTTAATGATCGATATTTGAAATGATTTACAATTGCAAAACGTTAGCTGATTGTTTGTTGTTTTGTTTTGTTTTTTTTTTTTTTTTTGCAGATTTATGCCACCAATTACCCCCTCACCGTGGAAGACTGTACGGAATGCTGATCGTTTTTCACCCGTTTGCCCACAAACCGTACCCATACCACCCAATGGCCCTGAAGCATTGTTGGAAGTGCCACGAGCCCGTCTAGCCCAGCTGCGTAGACTATTGCCGTTGCTTAGCAATCAATCGGAAGACTGCCTTTATCTAAATATATATGTACCCTACGAAAATCGGAGGCATCGACGTGAGTATTGAGTTTTACTTTTCAAATTTATGGTAGAAGAACGTGCGAACTGTCAAAGTTTTTTTTTTTGTGTTGTATGAAATCTTCATATAGCTTTGAAATCTTCAATTCCGTAGTGCATTGCAGTTTATTGCAGTTTAAAATTACTGCAAGCATTGTGGAAATGATGATTTTATAGTAAACTCAAACATCATGGAAGTGTGTTTTTATTGATTTATATATTGTGTTAAAGAGTGTAATTGATTTATATATATATATTATATTTCTATATATACAATTATATTATATCACTCTCAGAATTTGACCGTTGTTACAATGTTCGCAATCACTGATTTAGGGGCGATGAAATAATAACTTCTAAACCAATTGAGATATTTTGGTGAATTTTAGCTGAAATTCAGCCTGTAGTTGTAGATATCGGATTATGCTTTTCAAATGCTCCCATATAACAGTACGTCCGATTTTTAGCTGAATATTATCAACATTGATCTAATATTTTATGTAGGCCCAATATTAGGATACCACTCAAATTTAAATTTTTTGGGGTTTAAATAACCAATTATCAATCATAGTGGCACAAACGGAATTTTATATATAGAATTAAATTAGTCCAAACTAGGTTTAACTGTGAAAATCCAGTAAGGAAAGTAGTAAAGTCGGACAGGGCCGACTTTATGGGTATGGGTGTATTCAAGAGAAGCATCCTAACAGACATCGCATTTTTAAAGGACAATTAACATGAAATTGGATGAACTAAAATATGTGATATTGTGCTCTAAAAATGTCCCGACTTAGAACAATTCATAAATTAGCACAAAGTCGCTCGAAAATTCATATGGGATAGTCTGCATTTCTACAGAACGCAGTTACGTCATTCTTTGTTCAATGTTGCATGTTATGCAAAATTTCATGTCAATCTGCCACACATGAGGATTTTGGGGAACCATTTACTTAAAATCGGACGGAAATATATAGGGGAGCTATATCCAAATCTTAACCGCTTTAGGTTTTAGTAACCTCTGTACGTTGTGCAAAATGTTATGTCAATCGGATTAGCTCTGGGTTTCTGGTGCACCAATAACTTAAAATCGGACTAAATTATATATGGGAGCTTTATATAAATCTGAACCGATTTCAACGTAACTTTACGATTTCAACGATAACTCAAAAGCTAATAATCCAATCGGTTCCAATTTTGTAGATGTTTCTCTGGGAGTGTATAGCTATGGTTCCTTTTGAGAATATGCATAGAATCACATTCTAAGTCGATGTATACATGTCCGTCCGTCTGTTGATGTTAAATTGTAAACAAAGTACAGATCGCATTTATGATCCGATTTAGATGAAATTTGGCACAAGTCACTTATTTGGCCCAAGAACGAAAAAATCGGTTTAGATTTAGATATAGCTCCCATATATATTTTCGACCGATTTAATGGAAATGGTGCACCAAAGTCTATATATATATTTCGATTTGCACGAAATTTGGCATACCTTACTGAATAAAGTCTAGAGTAATGTGTGTTAAGTTCCGTAAAAATCGTTTCAGATTTAGATATAACTAACATATATATTTTCGTCCGATTTAAGGTAAATGGTGCACAAAAGACCCATTATATCTATCGATTTGCTCGAAATTTGGCATAGCGGACTGAATTAAGTCTAGAAAGAAGTGTGTTAAATTTTCTGAAATTCGGTTCAGATTTAGATATAGCTACCATATATATTGTCATCCGATTTAAGGTAAATGGTGTACCAAAGTCCCTATATATCTTTCGATTTGCACGAAATGTGGCACAGCTTACTGAATTAAATCTAGAATTATATGTGTTAAGTTTCATAAAAATCGGTTCAGATTTAGATATAGCTCCCATATCTTTTCGTCCGATTTAAGGTAAATGGTGTACTAAAGTCGCTATACATCTTTCGATTTGCTCGAAATTTGGCATAGCGGACTGAATAAAGTCTAGAAAGAAGTGTGTTAAATTTTCTAAAATTCGGTTCAGATTTATATATAGCTCTCATATATATTGTCGTCCGATTTAAGGTAAATGATGTACCAAAGTCCCTATACATCTTTCAATTGTGTTAAGTTTAATAAAAATCGGTTAAGATTTAGATATAGCTTCCATATATTTTCGTCCGATTTAAGGTAAATGGTGTACTAAAGTCCCTAAACATCTTTCAATTTCCACGAAATTTGGCTCAGCGTAATGAATTGGGTCTAGAATGATGAGTGTTAAGTTTCATGAAAATCGGTTCAGATTTAGATATAGCTCCCATATATATTTTCGTCCGATTTTATGTAAATGGTGCACCAAAGTCCCTTAATATCCTCCGATTTGCACGAAATTTGGCACAGCGTAATGAATTAGGTCTAGAATTATGTGTGTTAAGTTTCCTGAAAATCAGTTCAGATTTGGGTATAACTACCATAGATATATTAGCCTGATTTAAGGTAAATGGTGTACCACATTCCCTATATATCTTTCGATTTGCACGAAATTTGGCGTAACGTACTTAATAAAGTCTAGAGTGATGTGTGTTACGTACCGTAAAAATCGGTTCAGATTTAGTCATAGCTCCCATAAATTTTTTCGTCCGATTTTAGGAAAATATCCTTCGATTTGCACGAAATTTAGCATAGCGTAATGAAGTGAGTCTAGAATAATGAGTGGTAAGTTTTGGGAAAATCGGTTCAGATTCGATATAGCTCCCATATATATATTCGTATTATTTGGTATAAATGGCGCACCAAAGTCCGTATATAACGTCCGATTTGCACAAAATTTGGCACAGCGTTTTGTTGAAATTGGTCGAGATGCAGCCATAGCTTCCATATATATTTCGAACGGGTGTCTGATTGATATTAAATTTTTAATAGTGCGGCGTACCGAATAGCGTGTATCAATTTTCCTATAAATCATTATACCCTACACAACTATGTTGTCAGGGTATTATAGCTTTGTGCAGCCCCAAAAGTTTGTAACACCGCTAAATATTGTACCGATCGTCATATCTCGACTAGCTGAGTCGATCTAGACATGTGTGCCCGTCCGTCCGTCTGTCCATTATAATTTGTAAACACGATACAGGCCACAGTTTTGGACCAATCTTCACGTAATTTTGCATGTAGGATTGGTTCTGGCCAATGAAGACCCCTATTGGGACCCCTATATTGGGAAAGATCGGTTAATATTTAGGGGATGAAATGGACCAAATACTAAATTTTTGTCGGTTTTTTGGGTCGCTCCAGAGACCGCAATAATGGTCCGAACATCGTGAAATTTTGCATGGAGAAGGGGATCGGGCCAAAGAATAAGCATGCTTGTTTTGATAAAGATCGGTCAATGTTTAGCGGGTCAAATGGACCCTGACTTTTGTGTGAAAAATGACAAATTTTGTATTCTATAGCGTATTTATTTACCCCTGAAGGACATAGACCCGAGAAGTTGATATTATATCCAAGAGGTGTGGTTGACCTTTAAATTAATACCAATTATGTTGTTGTATGTGCCCGGATGTGGGAGTTACACCTAAATATGTACAGGTATCTCCGTATTCGTATATTATTTAGTAACCCATTATCACTTTAGAGAGCGGAACTATAGCGCTGATCGCTTTGAAATGTTCAATGAGGTTCCAGTTATGGTCAAGGACAACGCCTATAATTTTCGGTGATGATCAGATAATAATTTTGGAATGAAGTGGAACGAAAACTTAATTTTTTGTGTTATTTTCGAGTCGATCTATAGACAACAAATGAAAGCCCAACATCACACCACAACCCACTGTGAAGGGAATCTGGACAGTAGCTGTACTGAATACTCGTAATATTCGGAAAATATGTCAGTGTGAGGAAGAGGTGCTGTTTACCTCTAATCGGGCAAGAGGGTAAAAATATCACGATATATTGCCCAGGCTCGGAATAAACATCCGCAGAAAATTTGAGTTGTAGTTGTAGGGTATCGTGTGGTCGGCCCCGTCCGACTATACTGCTCCGCTAACTGGTTTTGCATAAATTTGTCCCATGGTACACAGACTACTCTAAAACTGCCCGAATGAAATTAAATTTATCGTAGGTTGCAGAAAGACACGAGTATGTTCCTTCGAGGGAACATTGACATGCAATTTTAAGGATACATTTTTTCAATATATCCAAAGTGGTGAAGGGTATCATATAGTCGGCGCAGTCCGACTTTACTACTTTCCTTACTGGTTTTTCACTAGGAATCAGATATGTCAAATTATTGCCCCTTCGACGAAAAAATTTAGTTAAAAATTGAATAATGCCGAGGTATATTAAAACATGGACCTTTATACCTTCGTACCAAATCGGCGAAAAAATGCGACTAAAGCCCCCAACATAAACCCATATTGAGAATTTTTGGTAGGATTTTCTGTTCAGTGGATATATCCTATTTTCAATACCAAACATCCTAGGAGTAGTTGCGAACGGACAGACGGATATGGCTAAACGACATACAATTTTATTCTTCTCAAGAATACATATACATGAATTTAATATAAATTCCACCTTGTGATGCAGGATATAAAGAATGAAATCATTCGGATTACCAATCTCACAATTTAAATGTCCTTGGAGCACAAAAAAAACTCAGATATGAACACATTACATTTCACATTGCCTAAAAATAGTGTGATTATTTTAAAAATATTTGCCGTTTTAATCCATTCAACACCGATACAGCGGAACCGGTACGAATTATTTTTCTTGGTGTTCTTCTTATTCAGTTCTCTGAATAATGAATATTTAATATTACAAATTCATAGTTTAAAAATAATTATGAAATATAAAGTTCACCAGTTTTGTGATTGTAATTGAAATATTATAATACTTTTTTTGCTATTCCTCAATAATAGTATATATCTTCTTAATATCTTAGGTTTTGCCACGAATAGTGGAGAATCATCGGAACAATCCTTAATTCCAACCATTTTATTCATTCACGGTGAATCGTATGAATGGAATTCGGGCAATCCTTACGATGGCTCTGAATTGGCTGCCCATGGCAATGTCATCGTAGTTACAATAAATTTTCGTCTGGGTATTTTTGGTTTCCTGAAAACTGGTGGCAAGGAAAGTGCTCAGGGAAATTTCGGTTTAATGGATTTAGTGGCTGGTCTGCATTGGTTAAAAGAGAACCTACCAGCTTTTGGAGGTGATCCTCAGGCTATTACATTGTTAGGTCATGGTACTGGAGCGGCGTTGGCAAATATTTTGGCAGTATCACCGGTGTCCAGTGGTAAGTAATGCTGTGAAATTAGGTTTTCATTTATCGGCAATTGTTGTTGCATTACTTTGGTTTAGATCTCATTCAGCATGTTGCCCTGGTTAGCGGTTCAGCGTTATCACCCTGGGCTATACAGAAAAATCCTTTATTTGTTAAACGTCGTGTGGCAGAACAGACCGGATGTCATGGCGATATGCTCTATGATGATTTAGCACCATGTTTGCGTACGAAGTCTGTGGCCGAACTGTTAGCTGTAAAAATTGACCATCCCAGGTAACTGAGGATAACTCTTATGAAATGTAATATAAAATTCATGCAATCTTTTCGTATCTCTAGATTTTTAGTTGGTTTTGCCCCTTTTATTGATGGCACAGTCATATCACCCAATACCGATGGTATTGGCAAACTATCACTGCCTATTGGCTCAGCTATAGTTAGGTATGTGAACCAAGTATTTTATTTGATGGTTTAAATAACTTTCAATATTTTTTTTTTTTTAATTTACAGTACATCAGGAATTGAATATGCAAATTTTCCTAAACGTAATCTCATATTTTGCCTAACCTCAGTAGAGTCACATCTAGATCTAAGCGCTCAAGATTTAGAATTTGGTTTCAATGAAACACGCCGAGATCGCATATTAAGGACATATGTGCGCAATAATTTCCACTACCACTTGAATGAAATATTTGCAGTACTAAAGGTAAGTATTTTTAAGCCAATGAGATGAGTTTTGAAAAAAAAAATATTTTTTCTTATTTTCAATAATAAACAGAATGAATACACCGACTGGGAGAAGGCAATACGTAGCCCATTAAGTTCACGCGATGCAACATTACAATTTCTCAGTGATGGACACACTGCCTCATCTCTTATAAAATTGGGTTATATGCACAGTCTGAGAGGAGGCAAAGGCTACTTTTTACACTTCAAGCATCGTACAGTGGAAGAAGAATATCCACAGGTAACAAAAAAGACTCGAATACTTATGGTCCGCAAATTGAACGAAAATAAATTTATTTCAGCGCACTGGTTCGGTAAGAGGTGAAGATGTACCCTTTTGGTTAGGCTTACCCATATCACCCCTGTTTCCACATAATTATACAACTCAGGAGAGACAAATAAGTCGTTTAATGCTAAAATATTTGGCAAATTTCGCCAAAACTGGGTAAGTCTGCGCCCAGTAAAACAACATTTGCAAACTTAATAAAATATTGATATTTTTCATTCTTCTACAGGAATCCAAATCATTCCACGTTTTCTTCACCGCTGGCATCGACTTCAAAGTTAATAAATACACCGCCCACATCTGTGGCCTCAGCTACACTGTCCACTGACATTCACTCAAAACACAAGAGATCATCATCGTCGTCGTCAAGAGCAACATTAAATTCTGTAAATAAAACATCCTCATTATCGTCCACTTCATCGTCCAATTCAAGCTACAGCAATAGAAATGTAACATCCGATGCTATTGAAGATGTAGCTGCAGCCGCCGCTAGAGAGGCCCTCAACCTGGCCGTGCTCTATAATCAGCGACGAACAAAGCGAACCTATTTCAAACGGCATTCTCGCAGCAATTCCGATGATCAACACAACGGCAATGATTCTGGCAGCAGTGAAATTGCGAACTTTCTCAGTTCAGCTGGTAATTTGGATAGTGAAGAGATGCCGTTTTGGGATGCCTACGATGTTGTCAATCAGTTATATATGGAATTGGGTAAGTTATGGTGCAAATATTTCAGCGTTAAATTGGACAAAGAAATTAGTTGGAAAATAATGTTTCGGTTCCCATAATTCGTATACTCTCCCATCTAACATAAAGGTCTCGCGTCATTTTCGGTATTTTAGTTCCAATCGCATTTGTCCATAAAAGGGGCTATAACTCTTTACACCAGGTTTTTGGAAGGGGACTTATTTCTGTGTAGAAAATTATGAATATAGGTGCATGTTTGAAGTTGCCCCTAAATAAAGATTCCGTCCAATTATTATGTATTTTGAAGGGTTCAACCACATCTTTTCATTTAAATTGAGCTGTTTACTTTTAAAGTAGATTAAGTCCATTTTTTTGTAAATTGAACTATTTAAAGGTTTGAATTTGACTTGTTTCAAAAATTTGTTAAGTAATATTAGTTTTGTTATTATTTCTCTTTCGAGATGAGCTAAATTATCGGAGTTGCAATGAAAAGGAAAGCCAGATAGATACTACATTCCCACCACTATGCGACGCGTTTCGCCGTTGGTTAAGCGGCTCATCAGGCATATTGGGCAATGTGGCTTACAAATGTCTTTACTTGATAAGTTGTATTTATGTCGACTATTGTTCCGAAATTGCATCTACGAATTAAATTCAACCGTGTCAAGGTTCGGACATTTGGCATCACACCGAAACATTCCTTTTCAGAGCAGATTTTTCTTGTAGTGACGGACTTTTTTCCATACAGACTACAATATTTTTCTTCAATGGTATGCAACTGCATATTGTGCAACCTTAGGAAGATAAGGAGGTGGCTTTGAACGCTAAGGCGCCGGACACCAACAGATGTCATGGGAACCAGGGTTCAAATCCCAGCCGGGCTCAAGCTGAATTTTTGAGTTTTGTTTTTATGCCTTTTAGGGCGAATGATCATTCATGTAAATGTTTGTTATTAATTTCTCTTTCGAGATGAGCTACATGATCGGAGTTGCAATGGTATTAGTTTTGTTTGTGACTTTGTGTCCATACGCATTATAGAACAGAATATTTGTATCAGAACCTAAAATGGACTTAAACCACTTTCAAAATAAACGACTCATGAATCATTGTCATATATAAATGTCCCATTGTCCCGAATTTATTTGTTTTCTATTTCGGTTGAAAATTTTGAATTGGACGACTTTTAGTATGGCTGCTTTGTTAAAAATTCTGTGTCCACTGTTAGTGGAACACAGAATGGATACAGAATTTTGTTTGAAAAATGCCGATTATGGCCATATAATTTTCATCACAACACACCACAAGGGGAAGGGAATCTCAATGGTCAGTGGGCCAAATCGTTCAGATGTCAAGAAGTATTTTTTTTTTTCTTATCGAAAATTACAAACATAAGAATTCACAACTTAAAAAGTTTATAAAATGCTTAGTACTTACTTAGCTGGCTTGTGACAGAACTTTCGTTCCATAACCCGAGCTTAGAAAAGATTAACAGGCGCGTCGGTCTTTTGCGCAGTTTTTCCAATTTTAAAGACCATTTTCGGCAATGTTGTCTTCGACTTGATCTTTTCATAGTTTCCGCGGCCTTGCCCTCCTGCGTGAACCATCAACGCTTCTATATACCTTCTGGGCTGGACATCTTCATCTATTCTCACAACATGACCTAGCCAACGTAGTCGCTGCAGTTCAATCCGTCTAACAATGTCGATGTTCGAGAATAGTTGGTACAACTCATGGTTCATTCGACGGCGATATTCACCGTCAACGCAGATCGGTACATAGATCTTTCGGATAATTTTTTCTCTTAAACACTCCAACATCTGTCTCATCTGCTTGCGTAAGTACCCATGCTTCAGTTCCATACAACAGTACGGGTAGTACCAGGGTCTTGTAGAGTGTGAGTTTGGTCTGGCGGGAGGTGGCCTTGCTTTTGAGGCCACCTCCCAGACCAAAGTAGCAGCGGTTGGCCATCACTATCCTTCTCCGAATTTAAAAACTGATGTCATTCGTTTTATTTATGGCGGTACCAAGGTATACAAAATCTTTGACTACCTCGAAGCTTTAGTTCTCAAGTTCCACAGTTGGTCCGAGTCTACTGGACGTCTTGCGCGTTGATACCATCAGCTTGGTCTTATCGCCGTTTACTGCCAGGCCCACTTTGGCAGACTCCTTCTCAATTTGTTCAAAGGTGGCTGTTACCGCTCTCAGTGTTCGACCCATTATATCGATGTCATCGGAGTAGGCGAGTGCCATGTGTTGTTTGGTGTACAGAGTGCCATTTCTGTTCACCTTTGCGTCTCGTATAACCTTTTCCAGCAGGATGTTAAAAAGATCACACGACAAACTGTCACCTTGTCTGAATCCTCGTTCGATATTAAAGGGCTCCGAGAGGTCCTTTCTGCTGATCTTGTGCCACTTAAAGTTATCCTGCATAGCCGTATTAATTTTGCAGGAATTTTACACAATGGGCTGAGGTGACAGACGTTGGCCGAGTATAACTCGGGTCATTTCGGATAGTAGACCTTCTGTCGTGGAACGTCGACAAATAGGTGGTATGTGTCGATGTGTTTTTCGTGGGTCTTTTCCAAGATTTGGCGCAGAGTGAAAATCTGGTCAATGGTGGATTTGCCAGGTCTGAAGCCGCATTGGTATGATCCAATGATTTCATTGACCATTGGCTTCAGTCGTTCACACAGCACACTGGATAGCACTTTATATGCGATGGGAAGGAGACTTCTTCCTCTATAGTTGGCACATATCGTCTTGTCTCCCTTTTTGTGCACGGGACACTGGATGCTGAGGTTCCAATTATGGTGCATGCTCCTTACCAACATCTGACCACCAGTCTTGAATAGTTCGGCTTGCGACTGATTGCTATTCTGACTTCATCTTGGCTAGGTGGTATACACTCTATACCGTCATCTATTATTGATTCTGGGGTATCCACTTCACTGCTACTATTCGATACGAGAAGTTTTTCAAAATGCTCCTTCCAAATCCTCAACACGCTGTCTGTATCTGTCACCAGGTTTCCTTCTTTATCTCTACAGGAGGATTTGCCTGCACCAAAGCCTTCGGTTTGGTGTTTTACCCGTTGGTAGAATTTTCGCACTTCATTCTGACTCATGTACATCTCGATTTGCTTATGCTCACGTTTTTCTTGCTCTTTTTTCTGAAAATACGTTTCCCCTCTCTTCTTTCCTCCCGATAATTCTCCATCACGTTACGTGTTGCTACTGTCTGCAGGGTTGCCCTATACGCTGCGTTTTTCACATCAGTAGCATTACGACACTCCTGATCGTACCACGGATTTCTTGATGGTAGTCTTTGGTACCCAAGTGTTGCTTTTGCTGCAGTTTGTAGAGGGTGGGCAATTCTCTGACATTGTGCTTCTATATTATTATCGAGACAAGGGGTGCTTTCGTCAAGCAGTGGGGTAAGTGGAGCAGAGTAGACTTCTGCTATCTGTTGTGTTTGCAGCTTTTCGACGTCAAATTTCCGTGTTACATTAGATCGCACCTTTGCTGCTACATGAAGACGGATGCGTACCTTTGCTGCCATTAGGTAATAGTCCGAATCGATATTCGCTCCCCGGATCGATCGGACGTCTAAAACACTGCATGAATGCCTTCCGTCTATCACAACATTATCGATTTGATTTGTCGTTGTTCGGTCGGGGAAAATCCAAGTGGCCTTGTGTATAACGAGATGCTTGAATCTGCTGCTGCTAACTACTATGTTTTTTGCTGCCGCGAAATCAATCAACCCCATGCCGTTGTCGGATGTTTCTTCATGGAGGCTGAATTTTCCGACGGTGGGTCCAAAGATATTTTCCCTTCCGATTTTTGCATTAAAATCGTCTAGCAAAATTGTAATGTCATAATGTAAAATATGTCTTTGGTATGTTCATCTTTATCTTCGGTCGGAGCATGGGCGCAAATGAGACTGATGTAGAAGAACTTCGCTTTTATACGGATTTAAAATTCAGTAAATATTTTAAATCGGGAATGCATATAGGACATTAAAGCATTAATATTTTATATTGCTTATCAGGTTATTTTTGCCGGCTTCAAAAAAATTGCCTTTGATTCGGCATTTTTGCCGACACTGTATATAGTGGAACTACAAAAATCTTACAAAATATTAAAAAACCGCAATTAAAATCTCAACTCTTATAATAATATTCATGAAAAATTGAATTTCGTTTTAGGCACCAAAGCTGAAATTCAAAGCCACTATCGCGGTCATAAATTATCGATGTGGTTAAACCTAATACCACAACTTCATCGGCATGCAAATATGAATGATCAATCAATGAGGCATCACCAGTTCCAGGATGATCTGAATAATATGAATCTCTATGAAGGTAAGAAAATCTATATCGTGTTACGATTCTCCTAAATATTCACCATATCGAGTTACGATTCTCCTAAATATTCACCATATCGATTTACGATTCTCCTAAATATTCACCACCTCTCACTTGTTCATTTAGGTATTGTACGGCCACAAATACAAACGAAACCAGCTGATGATGATGAAACGTTATTGTTACCACGAGGTAGACCAACATCAGCACCACCACCTACATCGACGCTGGAGGCAAATACCACACAAAAGCCAAGTGGGGCTACAACAGGTGAATTAAAATTATACACAAACACATATGCATATTTATTTATCTCTGTTATTTCTTCAGAATGTGGTGTCGACGGAGCTATGTTTGTGGCTGAAATGACCGCAATTCCGCCCACGGACAATCGTTCGTTCGTTGAAAGTCGTGAAAAGGAAATGGCTACAGCCTCAACAGGACTCATAGGTAATCTAGAAGTCTTAAGACGTTTAAGTGGCAAGCAATTTCAAAGTTATACTACTGCTTTGGTAGCAACAGTGGCCGTTGGTTGTTTTCTGCTCATACTCAACGTTCTCATCTTTGCCGGCATTTATCATCAACGCGAGAAGCGGGCACGAGATGCAAAGACAAAGGAAGAACTGCAGGACAATGATAATAGTAAAAATTCCAGTATTTTGAAACTGAATGCATTGGGCAGTGAAACGGGTTCCTTTACTGGCAGCGGGGCTGGCGTTAGTGGAAAAACCACAGCGGTTTTCGGCGAATACAGTTGCTACGATGAAAAATCAGTACAGACGAAAGACGAGAAATTAATCGTCGATTTATCATCCTCTCAAATGATGGACTCTACATGGGCAGCAGCCTGCTCGACCAGTACTTTAGATTTATTGAAAACCAAACATCATCTACCATTAGAATCGAATTATCCAATTTCTTCCAATGTTGTACCCATCACCACAGAACAACCCAATGAACATTTAATGGCTGTCAGTGCCATGGAAATGGCCACCTACAATCCACTGCCACCCATGGTCAGTGGCAGTGCTGGACTAATATTGGATCCATCAATAGCTACCTCAACGGGTTTACAAAGTAAACGCGGTTCCTTTGTTGGATCTTCAGGACAATTAAATCAATATGACTTTGCTTCGGTGCAATCGTCAGATCAAATGTCCTTTAAGGATATCGAGAATGCTGTAAAAGTGTCAATGAGTCGAGGTGATGATATAACACAGGATGATGATATTCCCGAACCACCACCGCCACCAAAATCGTTTCAAAATATGCAACTTCATCAGCAGCAGCAGCAACAACAACAGCAACCACAAACAGCCCAGCAACAAACACAAACAACTTCCGTTGGCGGAAGTGGAGTTACGGCGGCAGCAAGTTAGTGGTGGTGGGATTTTACGTCAAGCTGGTACCTCATCTGGTACACAGACAGGAGGCGGTAAAAAACGTGTACATATTCAAGAGATTTCTGTCTAGATGTAAGTAAATTATAAGAAGTGATTGTAATTCCAGAATAATATGCAAATTTTTTAATGATTATTTCAAAATATGTACTAAGTAATTTATATTGATTTTTTTTTTTTTTTTTTTTTTTTTAATACTTTCCATTATTCGAAATCACTACATTATTATAGTTTAGCATATTTTTTCCATCGAGTGAATTTTCAATATTTCGTTCAATTAAGTAAGACCACAACAAGAATGGGGATGTATATTATTTTGTATATGTTATTTGTATATATTTAGCTGGCTAGTGACAGAACTTTCGTTCCTTAAGCCGAGCTTAGAAAAGATTTCCAGGCGCGTCGGTCTTTTGCGCAGTTTTACCAATTTGAAAGACCTTTTTCGGTAATGTTGTCTTCGACTTGATCCTTCCATTGTATT